ATCTCACACTTGTCAGAATGGCTATCATCAACAAATCAACAAATGACAAGTGCTGGCGAGGATGTGGAGAAAAAGGAACCCTTGTGAACTTCTGTTGGGAATGCAGACTGGTGCAGCCACTGTGGAAAACAGTATGGGTTTTCCTCAAAAAATTAAAAATGGAACTCCCATATGACCCAGTGATCCCACTTCTAAGAATATATCTCAAGAAACCAGAAACACCAATCAGGAAGGATATATGCATCCCTATGTTCATAGCAGCACAATTTACCATAGCTAAGATTTGGAAAGAGCCTAAGTGCCCATCAGCAGATGAGTAGATTAAAAAACTGGTACATCTACACAATGGAATACTATGCTGCTACAAAAAAGAAGGAATTTTTACCATTTGCAACAGCATGGATGGACCTGGAGAGCATTATGCTAAGCGAAACAAGTCAGTCAGAGAAAGATAAATATTACATGATCTCACTCATATAATGATCAACATAAACTGATGAACAAAAATAGATTCAGCCTTGACTGGTTTGGCTCAGGGGATATAGCGTCGGTCTGTGGACTGAAAGGTCTCAGGTTCGATTCTGGTTAAGGGTATGTACCTTGGTTGTGGGCACATCCCCAGTGGGGGGTGTGCAGGAGGCAACCAATCGATATTTCTCTCTCATCGATGTTTCTAACTCTCTATCCCTCTCCCTTCCTCTCTGTAAAAAATCAATAAAATATATTAAAAAAAAAATAGATTCAGAGACAAATGGCATGGAGGGGAGGGTTAGAGATTAACCAAAAAACTTGTATGCATGCATAATTAGCATAATCAATGGACACAGACACTGGGGTGGTGGGGGCTTGCCCTCAGGTGTGAGAGTGGCGGGGGGGGGGGTCAATTGGGGAAAAGGGGGATATATGTAATACTTTACACAATAAAATAAATAAATAATAAATAGATACGTAAATAAATAAATAAATAAACAAATAAATAAATAAGAGAGTTATGGTTCCTACAGAAGCCTCTTTAACTTAACCTGTTCTGGAAGTTTACACAAAGCAGGCATTGTAGATAGACTATGGCACCCAGATCAGATGTGCAGTAAGTATGGGTAGTAAACATGAGATAGAAGCCGAGGTAGGCAAGTAATTAAACTATGTTCTCTGGCTGTCCATTGGTTCAACTATAATTGTTGAGGTGGCTAGAAGGGGAATATGTGTTGTAGGAAAGCAGTGCCTTTGAGTCTGATTTCTGTGACAGAGGCTGCCGTGGTGAGGTTGGATCCATGGCTGGCTACCCAGCTCTGTGCAGTCCCTGTCCAGCCCTAGGCTGTGCTTCCCTGACTCAGACCGCTTGATATACTGATTGTTTGCCGGGAGCCGGTCCATGCTTGCTGTTTCAAGGGACCTGGCATATATGGCATACTGTTCTTAATATGTTTGCTCACCTTCTTGGCACTATGTGTTTTAACCAAGGTCTCTGAGAAAGGTTGTTTCCCCAGGTAGGGATTTTCCCCTGAAGTTAGGGAGGGAATAAAACCTCTTAACTAAGTGCCAGGTGGGTAATTAATCACTTTAACTACGAACAATCATGCTTAAGCTACATAATCTTTACTCCCTGGAATGGAGATAAGAAACGCCCTAACCTTTGAAATAGAGATTGATAGGATTGGAATCAACTGGTATAAATACAGATGTAAGAAGACAGAACACACAGAACTAGAGACAGAAGAACTTCGCTGGAGAGAACATGGCAAAATATCCTGGACTGAACCTGACTACAGAAATGGGCAAGAGAACCTGACTAGAACCTGGTGACTGAATCTGGCTGGAGAACCTGGACTGAACCTGGCTGGAGAACCTAGCAAGAGAACATGGACACAGAACCTGGCTGGAGATCCTAACCAGAACCTCTCTGGAGATCCAGACCAGAACTTGGCTGGAGATCCTGGCTGGAGAACCTGGCTAGGCTGCTGATCAACTGAACACTGTCTCCGTGTCATTACTTCTTCGCTGACTCCGTCCACACCTTTGGGAACCCCTGGACCTGCTGGGGCAGGACCCCAGCAATTGTTGATATGTGCTGAGAATTTGATTGGGTTGAACAGAACATGGTGGTAAATACCCAGTCATTAACTATCTTTTTTTTCCTCCTGAGCCCTTGGAAAACAAACTATAACAATAATAGTGACCATAATGATAAAAAATGGGCAATACAATATTTGCCAATGGACCTGGAAGTAATATCAATAGCTTCTCTGAGTATTCAAATATTCAAATCTTTGAGTCATTTTTTTCCAAGAAGAGTCCAAAAGTGGCCTGAAATTCCATGCAGTAATTTCCCTTACTAGAGCTGTCTGCAGGAGCAGGCCCAGTGTTTGTGGAGGAGCACGTGGATGTAAATGCTCGCCTAAGAGCACCACTTCTTTCCATGCCACCTTTGCCTTAAGACTCTATGCTCAAACCTAGTGCTCAGTTCATAAATCAACTTCCCTAAGGTGGTTGAATGATGTTGTCCTTGTGCTCCCATGGCCTCTGTACTTACCTATATTCTGACACTCTATCCACTGCATTTTACTTGCCTGTCTATGCTCTAGATTTCAAGATCTATAAAGAAGAAATCATGTCTTATTCACAGCACCCACAACAATGCCGGCACATGCTGAAAAGTATTGACCAAATATAGGAACATGGATTTTATTAAATGACATTATTAAATTAATGAACAAATGATTTAAGTTAAAAAAAATTACAAAGTTAACAATATGAAGAACCAAATACTTAATATCATTTGCCTTGCTTCACTAGTGGGCTCTTTAATATAGATTTCACCTCTCCTTCCCCAAACACACACATATACACATACACACACTTCCATGAGCAGTTGTCTACTGCTGCATTGAGCTCTGGAAAAGAGAAAGGTGATGGATCAAAATAAAGTATTTATCAATTATAACTACTGCACGGGCTCTTGGACGGTGCTCATTTTACCCAGATATGGAAACTACTCCTACAGAACAACATGAAAAGCAGTGGGAACAGAGCAAGGGAGTTTCATTCAGCAATGTTTTTTTCCCTAAGGCATAAATTGATGCTTTAATGTTTTATTTGTTGAGGCGCAAAATCCTTTTAACTATTATTTCTGCATATGGAACTAGGAATATAGTCTTATATGATGCAATGAGAAGTACACAACTTCACCTTGAGATATTGCTGCCCCAAATGAAGGAACATCATGAAGGAACATCAGACTTTGGAGAAATTCTGTGCCAGAATAAAGAAGACTAAAGGCCCCTGACAACTAAATAAAATGTGTAATCCTAGATTTGCATCCTGGAATTTCTCTTTCTCTCTCTCTCTCTCCCATCTACCATCTACCTATCTATCCAACTATCCATCTATGTAAGAAAATATCATTGGAACAATTTTCATAAATTGAATAAGGTTTGTAGATTAAAAATAATATTGTGTCACCGTTATTTTTCTAGTCTTGATCATTGTAAATGTGGTTGTATAACAGAATTACCTTGTTCTTTGAAAATACTGGAAATCTGGGTGAAGAGTATTCTAGAATTCTTTTTACTCCTTTTTACAGTTTTTAAATAAGTTTAAAGGTATTTAAAAATAAAAATATTATAAAATTAGGGCTATAAATTCATATGACAATTTGAGGGAGATGTACTGTTATGGACTGCATTATTCTGTCTTCCCCAAATTCATATGTTAAAACCTAATTCCCAATGTGATGGCATTTGAAGATGGGGCCCTTGGGGGAAGATTAAGTCAGAAGGGTAGAGCTATCATGAATGGGATTAGTGCTCTTATAAAAGATCCCAGACAGCTCTCTCACCCCCTCTGCCATGAAAGGACACAGTGAGGAGGTCATCTGTAACCAGGGAGTGGGTCCTCACCAGTCACTGTATCTGCTGGCACCTTGGACTTGGACTTTCAGCCTCTGGGTCTGTGAGGAATAAGCCACCCAGTCTCTGATATTTTTGTCATAGCAGCCTGATCAAAACAAGACATGAACATTGAACACAATAGTAATTATACTAAATTAGGTTAAATTTTAAGCATGCTGGACATTTGCTAAGAGACCTACAGGTGTTTGTTTCTCTCAGGGTTAGTTTCAAAGTGCAGTGTAGCATATTGGATTTTGTGTAATTGCCAGTAATATAGTGTAAGGATGAGGGCCCGCAAACATGTAGTGTTGCAATAATATTAAAAGCCTCAAGTGCACTCTAGTCAACAAAAGTCCTCAGGGGCAGCTAAGCAGTCCAGTGCCTACAGGTAAGAAACTGGAAAGAAAGGATCCAAAGTAAACATGACTTGCAGGCTGACTATTGCACCATGGCTCTCTTGACAATTTTTTTGCTTTCTGTAGTACCCATGAAGGGAGGCCCATCCTTCCAACTGATAGATTTTTATTTTCTCTAATTATGATCCTCAGAAAGCAAGACTATCCAAAATGCTTTGTATTTGAACAAAAGAAATCTGTTTGAATTCATTTAATGTTGACAAGGATACACACTGACTTTCATGGGCCCTAGACCTTTTTACTTTTGTGGGCTTCATCATAATATTTTTTTCTGTTTGAGACAAAATTTAGTATTTTTTTTGTGTCCAATATTATCTTTTTCTGTATGCTGTTAAATATAACATGCATGCAACATGGAAGGGGTGGGGTGAACAACATGTATATACAAATCCTTGGGGACAAAGGCCCAGGCCAGGAGGCACTGAGCAAAGGAGGGGTCCATCTCCCCCCTGGCCAGGAGGGGAGCGCTGAGGCAATCTGTAAAGGGGGCATATGCCCAGGGAGAGGGAACAGCTGCCACTTCTGCTTCTGTTTCCCCAACCTAAACTGGAGGGATGCTGAGGAAGGAGAAGACAGGGTCCCAGAAGCCAGCACCCCTATCCTTGGCCTCAGGGGCCCAAGAACTCTTTGCATAAAATATCTTCAGAACAAGGAGATGGTCAAAAGCACAAAGTTTAAACACTGGGAAGGAAGGGCTGTTGAGAGGGGCTGGAGTACCCTGAGCCCAGGGGTAGACCAGAGGTGTGATTTGTTGTTCGTTTCCTGGAAGGGTGACTGCCTGTCATCACAGGACATTTTCCATTACGAGGCACACGGCCCAGGCCTTGAGCACCCACCTTCCTGAGGAAGTGGATATCAGGTTGGCACAGGAAAGGCCCTGGGAAGGGACCACTCTAGGTTAATACTTTGGTGAGGTTTGGGGAGAAGTAGGATTCTACCCCAGGCTCCTGACTCAAACCCTCTCCCTGAGCTGGATGCTAAACCCAGTGTCCACACTACCCCCAGCTCCTACACAAGGCCAAGCTCACAGAACACTCCAAAGTGAGGTCCTTAAGTCAGAGGATAGTGGACGGGTTGAAGGGAGTTTTCCGGCAAGCACCTGGGACGGATCACAATTTCCGTTCCACTGGTTGCTGTAGACACGGTTCGCTGCCCGCAGAGATGATGGGCAAGTGATTGTCCATGTGGTAACTGATGAGGTGACTGACGCTCTCAAAGCGGTGATCCTTTGTCCGAACCACACCCTCAGGGTCCACCAGCAGCAGGTGCTTGGGCTGCCCGCTCTGCAGGCCAGTGAGCAAGTACTGGCCAGGCGTGGTCGTGCTTTCCCGCACCAGGAAGTCCCCGTTGAGCTGCAGCAGGGCCTCAGCCTCCCGCCGGTTCAGCTTTCCATGGAACCACGGCTCCCCTCGGAGCTGCTCAGCCATGGCCACTGACTGGGGAGGTGGAGGCACCCGAAGGGCATCTTCAAAAGGCTTCATGTCAAAGAGGTCTCGGGGCGCACTGCCATTGACAGCAAGATTGGGGGGCCCAGCCCCGCCCCCTGCTTGCCGGGCCTTGTCCAGGTTCTGGATGTTGACATAGGAGGGGTCATCAAAGAGCTCTCTGCCTGCTGGGCAGGGTGGCAGAGGTGGCATCTGCTTGTGGACTTCTGGGTCTCCCCCTGCAGGCTGCCCCACAGGCAGCGTAGCTCCCAGGTGGCTGGGGTTATGGGCACTGGGCAGAGTGGGTCAAGCAGGCCCCTGGGGGGCTCCTTCCCGAAGCCTCATGTCCACCACCACCCCAAGAGGGGGTTCCTTCCCCGGGAAGTCATTATAGTATTGATCAGGTGGCTCTTCCTCCTCCTCATCCCAAGCTGAGCCATCAAAGCCAGCCATCCTGTCATGGGGGGTGACCAGCTTGGGTGGGTTCCTGAGGTATTGTTTGAATCGTAACTGGAAGGCCTGGCCAATGGTGCTGATGACGTCCTGAGCAAGCCCTTCGGGACACTCCAGGATGTGGCAGGCTCTCTGATTCACCGGGTCTTTGGCAACATAGGCGACATACTCAGCTGTGTCCGGGTCCCCACCAGACACAAATGAGATAGATTGCATGTGATGGTTGGCGATGATCTGTTTGCAATCTGCGGCCATGAGGTTGAGGCTGCTGGTGGAGACAGTGAGAGTGATTGGCATCCCAGCAAATTTCAGGTTACTCCTCCCCAGAATGGAACTGAGTGGGCGGCTACAGGGCTTTCTCCTTCTCGCAGCCCCCTTAGCACCTGGCACAGCCTCACACACCAGGCTGATGGCCTCCCTGGTGACCTGAGTCCGGGTGTTGAAGTCCAGGGCACGCATGGATTGCAGGACCTCCACACAGCCCATGTACAGGGCCTCATGGAGTCTCTGCACCGCACCGCGGGATGATTTGGTTCTGGATCACGCCAGTGCCTCTTTAGGTCGCTGCTCCAACTTTCTCCCCTGGAAGGCCTACCTGGAGAAACTTTATTGCACTCACTTCCAGCCTCGCTAACCCCTGACCCCTCTACCCCACCGTCCCCCATTATTTCTGATTGTAAATTCTTTTGAGGTCATAGCTCACCTCCTGTAAAGAGCCTTGTGGTGTCACAGAAGTTTCTGCAAAATTAAATAGAAGAAAAAGTGCCATCTGGAGGAATGATATTAATTATAAAATTACAAATATTAGTCTTTGCCTGGCCGGCGTGGCTCAGTGATTGAGTGTTGACCTATGAACCAGGAGATCACAGTTTGATTCCTGACCAGAGCACATGCCTGTGTTGCAGGCTCTATCCCCAGTAGGGGGCATGCAGGAGGAATCAGTGATTCTCTCTCATCATTGATGTTTCTATTCCTCTCTCTCTCTCTCTTCCTCTCTCTCAAATCAATAAAAAAAATTACAAATATTAGTCTTCATATGGAATGTTATTCCAATAATCAGTGAGAATCATCCTATATAATAAAGAACTAATATGCAAATTGACCATCACACCCTTACAAGATGGTTGCCTATGACCAGGCCATCAGGGGGGTTAGTGAGGGATGACCAAACAACTGAACAAGCAGGCTGCATGGGGCAACCAGGCCGGCAGGGGGGGCAGTTGGGAGTGATTAGGCTGGCAGGCAGGTGAGTGATTAGGAGCCAGTGGTCCAGGATTGTGAGAGGGATGTCCCAGATTGGAGAGGGTGCAGGCTAGGCTAAGGGGGAATACCTGCCCCCCGTACAAATTTCATGCACCGGGCCTCTAGTTTTAAAATAAACGACATTGATCAGGGTTGGCCAAAAATTATGTCTTTTATTTGCAATAACTGTTTCTTAAAATTGAGACATTGTGCCCTGGCCATTGTGCTAAGTGGTCAGAGCATGGGTCCTGTGCACCTAAGAGTTTCAGGTCAATTCTTGGTCAAGGGCATATACTTGAGTTGCAGGTCCGGTCCACAGCCCTGGTTGGGACAACCAATTGATGTGTCTCTCTCACATGGATGCTTCTCTCTCTCTCTCTCTCTTTCTCTTCCGTTGTCCCCCCCCCCTTCTACTCTCCCTAAAAATCAATGGAAATAATGTCCTCAGGTGAGGATTAACACAAACAAACAAACAAATAAATTATAAACTAATTAAAATATTGTCCATGGTTCTCAAGTCATCCTCTTAGAGTTTAAAGAGGATCTGGAAGAATTGTGCCTTTCGGTGAACTAGTCCTTTCCCTACTGTTTCACTGCTCCCATTGTGCCAAGTGTCCATGCAGTGCTTTAATGCCAGGGCAGGAGGACATAGTCTACTTCTTTCCATCCCAAATTTATCAAAGAATCAAAAGTGATTTTTTAATAGACCACACTGTAAATACTGAGAAATCATGTGTGTGCTTTTTAAAGTGCTTACTTATTTGGCTTCTGCAAATGTAGAATATTAAGTGCTTGGTGTTCAGTAGTGAACAAAATTGCAAAAAAATAAATTAAAAAAAATAATCCCTGCCTTTATGAAACTTAACATGCTACAGATATCTCTTTAGTTTTAGCTATTGTGTCCTCTAACTTCTGAATTTCATAGCAATGGTTTCATTTATTTTATATAATTAAATTTGAAAACAGCCTGGGGAGCTGGCTCATCTTCATTCTGCAGAGGTAATCAGAGAAGCAAGAGAAGGTTTCTGAAATAAGAACTAAATTTGAATTGGGAATGAGAGTGAAGCAACTCTAGGTGCATGTTGGCTAACCCTAGCAACCTGACCCAGGTGATCTGGAATTCCTTTCACTGTGACAGCTTAGTTCAATGGCCTTTGGCCCGGTAAGTGAGGTGCCCAGGGCTTCCAAGAAATTGTGAAAAAATAAGCGGGGATCATTTCAGTTCACCACTGAATTCAACAGACAATGGTTTCAATGACAAAGGCATATCTAAACCAGATAAATAAATCATTTCTTTTTTCTTTCTTAGTGTGAGGCTCATTCATGAAGAGACCTCTGCTTGGACTTAGAGTAAAAATGGGTACAGAAGCCTGTACAGATAGTTTGGAGGAGGTTTTTTGTTTTTTAAATCCTTACGGAAGGATATATTTTTATTGATTTATTTTTATTGATTTATTTTTTTTTTAGAAAGAGGGAGAGATTGGTTACCTCCCCAACACACCCTGACCTGGGATCAAACTACAACCTTTTGCTGTAGGAATGATGCACCAACCAACTGAGCCACCTGGCCAGGGAGTAGGCAAATTGAATTTTAGCAATTAAAAATCTTAATTTATCTGCCTGGCTGGTGTGGCTCAACAGTTCAGCTTCGACCCAGGAACGAAGAGGTCATGAGTTCTACTCCTGATCAGGGTACATACCTGGGTTGTGGGCTCGATCCCCAGTAGGGGGCGTGCAGGAGGCAGCTGATGGATGATGTTTCTCATGGATGTTTCCATCTCTCTATCCCTCTTCCTTCCTCTCCCTCTCTAAAAATCAATAAAAACATATTTATAAAAATCTTCATTTATCATGAAACTAACAATAAAAACTCAGAAAAATCAGCTTAATAGAATTGCACTAACCTTTTTTTTTTTCTTTTGCAGCTATTTAAAAGGTTTCCTTTGTGCATTTGCTTCTTCAATGGTAGAAAAAAGAGCAGCAATAGCAATTTTGCTTTTTTAATAACTGAAGATATGGGTCAAAACAGTAAACCCAAAAGAGTAGTACTTCCTCAAAGAATAGTGCAGCAAAAGTTCCTGTATTCTGTCTTAACTTATTGTTTGTTATTAATTGCTTTTGGGGATCTTAAAACCTCTGGGATTAGGGTCCCAAGGAAAACACTGGTCTTCTCAGAGGCTCCCAGTACGCTGGTCCCAGAGATCAAGGTAAAGCTGCAAGTCTAGCTGATTTATCCTGAAAGTCAGACCACATCATTGGTGCCACATCCTTTTTGGTAACTATCCCTTCATTAGGAAAAACCAGACATTAATATCAACTCAGATTTAAGAGGAGGGGAACTAAATTCTACTTTTCAATGGCAGGAGTAGTAAACAATTCTCAGCCATCTTTAAGTTGCCAAAATAGGACTGAAAACCACTGTAATAGCCTAATCTCCCCATGTTATAGATGGAGATGCTTTGATAGAACATCAATTTTGAGTAAGTGCAATTAACTCTAAAACTTCAAACATGATGTTCAGAACTCTGGCAAACTTTAAGTCAAAAACTTTGTTGGAGACCATTGCTTTTGGTCTCTCTCTAATAAAATATACCATTAGTTGTCTGCTTGAAACTTCTTAGGTGAAAGCCTTTTAATTCCTATCTATTTTCCTTAAGAGCTAGAAAAAAGAAAATCCAAAATTTTCAAGTTAAATGGTAAATATTCACACATCCCATGAAAAAGAGAGGGGGGGAGTGTGATCTTTGCAAATACTCTGTATTATGTGTTTTGTGTCACTTATCATCATCACGATTTCATATGGTAAGCCTGGTGAGGGTATTACTGAGAAAGGAGAGCAGCACTTCAAAACATCTGAAAAGGATTTAGGTCAGTGAAGAAAGTATTGCCACAAACTGGCTTCTTAAGAAGCAGATTCTGATCAAAAAGTTCTAGAGATCTGTTGTTCAACAACATGCATATAGTTAACACTACTGTACTGTATTCCTAAACATGGTTGAGGTAGTAAATTTTAAGTCATGTGTTTTTTGCCACAATAAAACCCAAAACCAAACAGGCAGGAGGTTCTGGGATGATTTTGGCATTTAAGACATTTACTAAGGATAAAATCCTATGAAAAAAAAAAGTGGGTGAGGAAGCAGGATTGGGCACAGGTAAACAGCCGAATTGCTTATGCAAGCCCTACCATAGACTTAGACAACCCAGCAGGCAAACCCTAGAGCAAATAATGTTGTCCAGCCTAGAGCTGAACAGCCCACCTTTATACTCTCACTGAGCCACTGGATGCAGGCTGCCCCAGGAAGGCTGTGGCCTTGGCCAAGGCAGCTCCAGCAGGGTCTTAGTTGAAGGCACGTGGGGACAGTGGAACACCATTCTACTGCCATTGTTTAAGAAAGAAAATACACTGACAACACATGGGAACGTAACAACTGCACTTTGAAGATGTTGTCTGAGATCCCTGGAGGAATAATATGAGACACATGATTTAATGACAACTTCAGTTCACTGAAAATCGAATCTAAGAGTATTTAGTATTAATTTTAGCTAGAAAAACCTGCTCCTTTGTTTTTACACACATACACACCCACACACAAATCCTCTTTTAACACAACATAGTCAAAGCTCAGGAATAAGTCAAAGGGGTGTGAGTATGAAGAATATAATATATTTAAGCTTTGTAATTTCTACACTAGGAAATTTTTTCATAATATTATCTGTTCTTATGGATTTCTTCCAAGTTTTCTGCATTTATTTTCAGCTTGTATAAAAAGAGCCATGGATTACCAGCACATGCTAATAAGATACAATTTGAAGTTTAAAAATGTTACTAAAAGGAAATTTTGTTGATTTGGTTCTTAATATTCTCATGTAATTTTGCACTTTCTTATTTAACAACATTTTCACATTTTTGATCAGAATATTTTGAGGCTTTCAAAGATCTCCCTTGCTCTCAGCATGAACTTGGACAAATTCTTATTCTCTCTAAACTACAGTTGCCTGATCTGTAAAATGGACATACAATGGCATGTACTTCATAGGCTCATTGTGAGTGTTAAATGATATAATGTTGTAGATGGTTTAAGAAAGTGGATGGCACAAAGAAACAAGTCAATATGTGTAACTGACTGTCTTGTGATACTGTTAACTGTCCTTTCATTAGTAAAAATCAGCCATTACCATATGCCACACTTTTGCAAAATATATTTGTTGAAAAGTAATGACTTAGGAATGGAAACCCAAATCTCTGATCCTAGGGTTCTGTCTCCAAGAATTTTCTAAATCCGTCACAAGGTGGCCCCAAATCCATGTACTCTCTGACTCCGCACTCATGGAAAATGAATCAAACAGCAAGAAGACG